GAAGGTGATCTCGGCTTATGGCTTGAGGGGGCTGGTTGGCTAGGATAGGCGGTTCCTGCTTGAGAAGGAATCGACTTTGGTCCTGAAGCACTCGCCTGAGCCCGAAGCCCTCACACTTCACGCCTGTCTGGCATCCACATGTTGGGAGAACTCCGACAAAACTGCGCGCTAAGTTCGCCACCTGTCGTGATGCTTCATCTAAACCCTAAACCTTAAGCCCTGAACCCTAAACCCTAAACCCTAAACCCTAAGCCCTAAACCCTAAACCCCTAAACCCATGATACATCTTGCATGGGTCTACTCTGAGAGCCCCTGGCACCTCATCCTCGGGGGAGCTCCAAGAAGTGCCATGGAAATTCTTGGGTTTAGGGTTTAGGGGTTAGCGGTTAGGGTTTAGGGGTTTAGGGTTTAGGGTTTAGGGGTTCCTTCCCAGAGAGCCCAATACCCCTTAAATAAGGAATTATTCCTTAAACTATAGGGGCCTGAATATTATGATTTAAGGTCTATTCCTTATTTAAGGGGTATTGGGCTCTCCGGGAGAGCCTCTTTCAGGTGCTGCCGAAGCCTATCAACGTGCTTGGGCCCAGCCTGATGCTTTCGCAAATTCGAGTTTTCTTTTTCTCTAAGGGTTCTTTGTAAGGGTTCTATAAGGGCTTGGGTTCCGGGGTGGGGTTTTGATTCGGGGTTTGTGGATGCATGCGCAATCTGCATTGCGGGCATCAAAAAGTGTGTAAGCTGTTTTCTGTTCTCGGCGCATGGTCAACACACAGTCTCGCAGCAACCAACTTTCGATTATGTCAACTGCCTTGCGCTACGTCCTGCGTTTGTGCACAGCATAGAAAGATGTGTTCCTGCACTGGCAACGCAGCCGGGCAAACTGACACTGCTAGGCTATGGTCTTAATTGCTGTGTATAGAAGTGTCACTGATATTCGTAGGCCCACCCCCGCTACTCCAACAAGTCGCAGACCTTTCCCAATAGCCTTAAACCCCTCAGGCCATCTGGGCGAATCATGCTAATCACCGACATCAATGTACTGAGGCAGGCTTCATTGAGGATGCCTTCGAGCACCTACGAAAATGGTGGACACTAGGTCGGTCACATCAGCGCACATGCATGCCTTGAAGTTTGGGGCTAGTATGTGCGTCAGATTTTGGGGTGTGGTGCAGAGGGCATGTAGATATTGTAAACAGAAAAGAACCTCAGCCGGAAAGCGGAGAGTCAACATTTCATGGTGGTATGGACGATGATGTAGTTCTCCTGCGGCTGCTCCTGCTCCTCCTGCTCCTGCTACAGCTCCAGCTCCTCCTCCTCCTGCTCCCGCTGCTGCTACTGCTTCCTGCTGGCACTAGTCTTAGCAAGGCCAAGCGTGCCAACGGTTTTCTATCAATAGGCGCAAGCATTTCGTTCTCAATCCGTCCGCCGTTGGAGAAGCCCTTAATGCCGAACAGCTCCAGATAGATTCCGATAACCGCGGAGTCCTGCGATTCAGCCGATTCCAGGGCATGAACAGAAACACCCATGTGCTTCCATGGCGAGGCTGCGGCCGAGAGCTGCCAGCCTGGAAAGATTTTCAGGCAGACCAGCTCGAATCTGGGCGCGGTTTTGGTTCGTTTCGCTCTTTTTCAGGTTTCGGGGTTTGGCTTTGGTGCATTGGTGTCTCACCGTGTAGGGTTCGTGCTTAGGCACCCCGGCACGACGAATACGGCTCTAGTGCTGCTGCGTTTCATGTCTCTGTTACCAGTAGCTGCTCCTGCTCCTGTTCCTGCTACTCCTCCTACTACAGCTACTGCTGCCACCACCAACCACCGCCACCACCGCCAGCACCGCCACCACTACCACTAGTTACCGGTTTATCCATCCTCGCTCGTGCCGGACATGGGACGTGGGCACCTCTAAACCCCAAGCCTTTCCTCAACCCTGAACCCTCAATCCCCTCGATTTATGCAGTGCTTGGGTCGGCGTCTAGTGTTGGGTCGCGGCCGAGGACGTGATCGCTGCCGATGAAGAGCACTGTGGCACATACCAGTAGAACGAGTAATGGGATGGGGTCTGGGGGACAAGGTAAAAGCTGTTGTGCTGCAGAGGTTCTCCGGTTCAGGCTGTGGGGTTTGCAGCACGAGGGTTGGAATTTTGGGCACTGAAGTTTTAGTATGCTGTGGTCTGGACATGAGACAGCGAAAATGTGCATCTCTTCCTTCAAAACCCAGGAGTTTCGACGAAATACTGTGACTGTGTGTCCAGATGGGAACGAAGGGCCACTGGATGTAGCTTTGCCCCACAGTGTAATCTAAGCAGCCCAGTCCACACTGAACATAGTGGCCCGAATGATGACCACTCCTATTCCTTAGCGTTCCTTATTGCAAGCCACGAATGCTACTACATCTTACCCCCAGAGAACTGTTCTGATTATTGAGGGGCAGACGTCAGACTTGGCCTTACACTGTCTGGTACTCAGTGGCTACAACCCTGATCCCCGACTTGCCGAAGTCTGACAAAGACTCTACACACCTACTTGTAAAGGGGCCGGAAGAGTTAGAAATAGTAACAGACCATTAATAATAGTTAGTTAACGGTATCCCTTAAAGTCCCTACAAAAGTATACTTGACCACACGCCAAAACCACATTCTAATTGTTTCGGCCACTCCCTTACACCAATGCCCACAATCTAGCCCTTCCGAGGCCCGTCTGCCGAATGTCCTCGCAGATGGCCTTTGTCCAGGCTGTTCTGCTTGGTTGAGCCTAGTCGGGTCTAGGCATCATGGCGCGAGATTTTGCGCTTCCCGATTTAGGCTTTGGGCTAGAAGCATCTGTTTTCTTCAAGTGGAGTTCCCCAGATAACTGCACACAGCCATTGACGGCTGCCTCAATGTTCCATTGTATGGTGCGCATTCTGCATTCCCTCCGATGTGTACTTGGGCGAATCAAGCCGCTTCGAGCCCCTTAGCAGGGGTAGTCTCGGGACGCCTGACACAAGAAGTGTTCGTCGGGGTGCAGGGTTGTGTCGTTGCTTCTTGTGCGAAAAGTATTTCGAAGTCGCCATTCCGTTGCATGTCTATTTCGCAGGGAGCCATTCATGCCGACATGCAACGGCAGGTTCCGGCCAGGATTTCGCATGACACGTGTCTCACAGTTTCGATGCATGGGTTGAGGTATACTGGGATTGACTCAAGCGGTTCTCGGTTCTGATGGTGCCTTATTATAGTATGTGGTGCTACATCATGTTATTTTGTCCTTATACTGACTATGTTATCTTATACTATAGTATAGCAGATTGTATTATAGTATAGCAGATTGTATTATAGTATAGAATAGTATAGTATAGTATAGTCAAACATACTATACTCTGACATATTATTTTATATTACATTGCATTATGTTATATATTATATAGCGTCATGTTATCGTATGTTATGTTGTATTGCACATCCTTAAAACCGTTTCAGCTTTTCGAGAGCCTCGCGACGTCAGAGCTTCCCCCCCCCCACCCCACCCCCCCCACCCCGCACTTTCTCGAGTTTAGGGTTTGGGGTTTAGAGTTTAGGGTTTTGAGTTTAAGGTTTAGGGTTTAGATTACAGGGGACCTAAATAGACTTAAATAGTTCGTAGTATTCAGTATTCTGTCCTTATAGCCCCCATTACAGCTGAAGGACTCTGGGTGAAAGAGGCCTACAGTCTTCGTATAAGCCCTACGAAGCCCTGAATCTGAAATCCCCAAGAAAGTTGTTAAAAGCAGCTGCAAAGTTATCATCATCCCAGAAGCCCTTTGCAAGCAGACCTCCCTGGGCCACTGTCTAAGTTGGGATCCGATTTGGGGTCTGCGAGAAGAGCAGGAGAGTCGTAGAATCCAAGCAAAGTATTCAAAACTACTTCCAAGAGCCTCAGACCCTGCCCCTGTCCACCTTTGACCTCGTCAAACCTTGAACCCAAATCTGTACACAAAATATCAAAGCCGTTCAGGCCGGTGTCCTGCAAGACGCCGTAGTTGAAGTCGAGAGTCAGGTGGCGCCCAGGGCTGAGGGTTTCAATGGCTGGCTTCTGAGGCGCACAATTCCATTCGACGGTACTCTGCTTAAGCACCCACCGGAAAGGCCCGCCCAGTTGAGAACGTCATTGCTATTGTTATCAGTAGTCGTTGTAGTAGCAGCAGCAGCAGCAGCCGTGTAGTGATGGAAGTAGTAGGAGGTGGAGCAGCAGCAAGCGTAGCAGCAGTACTTAGCATTCAACGACGAAGGATGGGACAGGTGCAGCAGGAATAGCCGTAGCTGGTTGTAAGTGCATTGGTCTTAGTAATGGCCATTTCAGGAGTGCTGGTATGTTGACTGCAATCCTAATCCTCATACAGCAAGGAATCCCAGCAGCAGCAGGTGGCCTCACAAGTTTTCACGCTTGAGGGCTTGAGTGGGGGCGCTTAGTGTCGGACTACACTCCTTCGTACCCTAGCTTCTCCAATCTAAGCACACTGACGCAGCGGCCCGTTTCAGGCACCTTAGCATACGCTTCTAGCTTCTTCGGGGCCGCCTCGTGTAATCCTCGCATCAAGGCCTAAGGTCCCGTGTTTTACACCCGAAACTCATTGAGGCTCAACTCCTGAGAACATGCAGACTGTTGAAGGTTTAGGGTTTAGGGGGTTAGGGTTTAGGGTTAGGGTTTAGGGTTTAGACACTGGAAATCTTTTGTTGTTTAGACGGGTGGGGCTGGCACCTTCGAAAATAAGTGTCTAGTGCTGGTAAGCCCCATACTTCAGTCTTCGATTCAGAAGCCATGAAAGTTCTACTTTCGGCTTCTATGCCCCCCAAAACCCCTAAACCCCGAAACCCCAAACCCCAAAACTCCTAAACCCTAAGCCCCATAAAGCCTCTATGCCCCCCAACCCAAAATCCCCAAACCCACGAAATCTCCCCTTCTGACGATGCTCTGATGAAGTCCCTAAACCCTAAAACCCTAAACCCTAAGCCCCATAAAATCCTCGATGCTCTGATGAAGTCCCTGCTGCCAGGAGGAGCTGCTCGAGCAGCTCGGAGAACTGCAGGCCCGACGCAATGATTTGAGTACTTTCCCCCTTAGGGTTTTGGGGTCTTAGGGTTAAGGGCCTTTAAGGTTAAGGGTTTAGGGTTTTAGGGCCTTTAGGGTTCAGAGTTTGGGGTTTAGGGTTTAGGGCCTTTAAGGTTAAGGGTTTAGGGTTTAGGGTTTAGGGCCTTTAGGGTTCAGAGTTTAGGGTTTAGGGCCTTTAGGGTTTAGGGTTTAGGGTCTGGGGGCCTTTAGGGTTAAGGGTTAAGGGTTTAGGGTTAAAGGGTTAAGGGTATAGGGTATTAAGGGTTAGGGGTTAAGGGTTTAGGGCCTTTAGGGTTGAGGGTTAAGGGTTTAGGGTTTAGGGTTTATGTCTTCTTGCTGTGGTGGTCCCAATTCTAAGTATTGCACGATAGAGTATAACCTAGCACACTTTCGAAGATAGGACTGCTGACAAGTGGTCTAGACTTGGACTCGCTTTTCGCCTTCGAGAGAGAGAGACACTTTCGAAGGGTGGTTTTGGGTTTCGGGTTTAGGGAGTATTTCAGGCGCTTTCAGTAGAGTTTGCGACACTGGCTTTCGGATTTGGGTGGCTGCGAGGTGTAAGGCGTGGCCTTCTTGTTCTCAGCAGACTGGAGACGATGCGCGAGGGTGCAGGCAAGATAACCATGTGGGTAGTTCTAGAAATTAGGGTCCCTTTTTAGGTCCCAAAATAGTACGGCACCCTTATCAAAAGGACCCCCAAAAGGGACCCTAAGTTGGAGAACTACTTATGTAGCATTCTAGATTGTAAAGGCAGTCAGAGGTGCAGGCTTGTGTTTTGCCACTGGCAGCCTGCGATGCGGTAGAGTGCTCGGGAGGCTGAGCTTATGCTCCTACTGTCTCACGGGCGATGGTGTGTGTGTGTGTGCGTGTGTGTGGGTGTGCGCGCGCGTGTGTGTGTGTGTGTGTGTCTGTGTGTGTGTGTGTCTCTGTGTGTGTGTGTGTGTCTGTGTGTGTGTGTGTGTCGGCAAAGTCCGTGGAAAAGAGTTTCTAGGAAGGCGTTTGCTGTTGAAGGGGTTCCAAGACTTCTAAGTTGTAAGGTCGTGCAAAGTCATCGTGGCTGGCAGCCTCTTCAAGGGTTTGGTCGTAGCTGTTGTCGTTGAATTGAAGGTCTTTGCAGTCGGCCTTTTGTTGAGAGTATGTTTTGGTGGTGCGCATCGCCGAATCTCATCTTATTGGCAGTGGCAAAAATCCCTAACCTGAGCATGCTCGAGTGGTTGTGACGGGGGGGGATGGGGATCTCCTGCTTTAAGCGTGTGTTTGTTTTGGCTCAAAGAGTTGGCTCAAAGTGCACCCTGAGCTCTCCAACTCGCTTTCCATAAACCGGGCCTTTGGAGCCCCTGGCCAGGCGGGCGATGATGGCCGGCCGCTGATCATCCTTCTTGGGCAGGAGGCTGGTTTTTTTTGGGGGGGTTTTGGGTTAGGCCGTTGAGGTGCTTGGAGAGCAGTTGTAACGTCGTAGTACCCCCACCGTCAAGCTCGGATGGCTTGGGCGGGTGGAACTCATTTGCCTTGAATCCCCACTCCTGGAGCCACTCTTGGTCCCTGAGTAGTACCTTACTAAAACCGAATAGTAGGAAAAAGGGTACCCTTATTATAAACGGGCTACTCAGGAACCAAGGGCTTAAACCCCCAACCATTCGAACCGGGTTTAGGGCTCGCCTTGCTACGAGCAGGCGTGGGCGCAACCTCTGGCAGATTGGGTTGAGGCCATGGCTGTCGGTGGAAAGAGTGGAGGGGGCGCACGTAACTAAACGCTAGAAGTCCATAAGCCATGAAGCTTAAACCCTACACCCTCATCCCTGTAAGCATAAACCCCGAGCTTGCATTTCGCGGAGGATTGTTTTGGGGTGGGGTATTGGGCATACTTGTGAGCCACAGCGAGAGGGCGCTTGGGAAGATGGTCCTGTCAGTGTACCATCACATCTGTGAACTCACAGCCATGTTTTCCCCCCTCCTGAACCCTCACGGAATAGGGTTTAGGGTTGAGGGTTTAGGGTTTAGGGCCCTACTGCCCTGCCACATATATGGAGGCTCAGAAGGCCATGCAAGCTCCCTGGCAAGGAAATGAAACTTCGGGTTGGGGGTTGTCGGGTTTTTTTGTTTTTTTGTGGTTCATGGGTTTGAGGTTTGGTCGGGGTTCTGGTTTGTTTTCAAGGATTTGGGTTCTGATTTAGAACTTGCAATCTTTGGAGCGGGGGGTACAAGGTTCAAGCAGGTTAGAACGGTCCCTGCTGAACTGAGCCAGCCCGAGGACCCCCAGCAAAAGGGGCGCCTTGAAAGACAATGATTCCCTTCCCTTGAACTTCCCAGAGAGCCCAATACCCCTTAAGGAATAGACCTGAAGCTATAGGGGCCTTAAGGTATATTCCTTAGTTAAGGGGTATTGGGCTCTCTGGGTTCATACCTTGGACCCTACACCCAAGAAGCGCCACCCAAGCCTGAAAGTCCGAAGCCGCAATCCTGAACCTCAGGCCGCTATCTGCAGTTAAACTCCCGGAACCCCCTAGAACCCGAAGCATTACTGGGATCTTTGAAGCACTACTGGCATCTTTACTGTAAAGATCCTGTGGAAGAAGGCCCTTAGGCTTGCAAAATTATTCATGTTTGACTTTGCTTGCGCTTCGAGGGAAGCAGAAATCACTATCATGAAAAAGATCGAGATACCTTAGAGGATTGCAGATCAGTCACTGCAAATGAAACGGGAACTTCCTACCATAAGAGCCTTACCTTCAACGTGCCTTTAGAATCTTTCGAATACATGCCAAGTGGGCAGGGCGTGGGGTCTCTCGTTTGTTTCATGCTGGTGCAAGGTGAACAAAAGAAGAATGGTACTATGGGCTGAGTCCTCAACCTGCAATCTCCTATCCTAGAAGCCTGAACAGACACACACTGTACGCACAATGAGGCCAAACCTAACCCTAGTGTGGTGCTCCTAAACCCTGATAAACCCCTAACGCCTGGACGCCTGAACACTAAACCCTAAACAGAGGTTATTCGTCGCGTTCCCTTCGTGGTTTGCACGTCCGCGCGAAGCTTAGGAGTCGGGCTTGAACCTCTACATGTTGAAATTTTGGTAGTGATACATACGGAATTTAAATTTTGCAGTTAGGAGTTATAAGTACGAAACTATGAAGAGCGTTACTTGTAGTTGATCCTTGCCCTTGCCCCGGGCGTTGACGAGTGGCCACATTTGATTGAGGTTGTCATGTGTCACGAACAACCGAACAGCATCTTGATGTAGTGCAACTGCACGTAGGCAAGATATGAACAGTTGCAGTGATAATTGTGAAAGCAATAGAGATGATACTCGCAGCTACTAGCACCAAGGACAAGACCAGCCATAACAAAAATACTCCACTTCTTCTGCTGATAGTACTCGTCGTCGTCGTCATCGTCGTCGTCGTCGTAGTAGTAGTAGTAGTAGTCGTCGTCGTGGTAGTGGTAGTGGTAGTGGTAGTGGCAGTGGTAGTGGCAGTGGTAGTGGTAGCGGTAGCGGTAGTGGTAGCGGTAGTGGTAGTAGTAGTCTAGTAGTGCTAGTGGTAGTGGTAGTAGTGGTAGTAGTGGTAGTAAGTACTACGTAGCACGCAGTAAGTAGTCAGTAGTTAGTAGTTAGTAAGTAGTAAGTAGTGAGTAGTGAGTACTGTGTAGTAAGGAGTAAGTAGTAAGTAGTAATGAGCAGTATGTAGTACGTAGCAAGTAGTATGTAGTACGTAGTACTTAGTAAGCAGTAAGTAGTCGCAGTCATAGTCGTAGTCGCAGTCGTAGTCGTAGTTGTAGTCGTAGGCGTCGTCGTCGTCGTCGTCGTCGTAGTCGCCGTCGCCGTACCAACAGTGGCAGTTAAGGGTGGCAATAGTAATAATCACAGTAGTCATCATATCAAAACCATAATGAAAGCCTTCGAGGCTTTGCGGATGAAACCCACATCGTGGCTCTGCTTGCTGTCACGATACCCGCAATTCCCTCTGCATCTCAGGTATCACAAGTACACAGCTGACTCACGTTCAGCCTCAGTGAGACCCTGCAAGCTAAACCGAGAAAGCTTTGTGATAAAGAGGTCGACAGCGACCGCATCGGTGCTTCGCACTCGTCCCAGCTCTTCCATGCGCTGCTTCCCCGAACCTTCACACAGCAGGACCCAGACTCAACTTCAATTCCGAGGGTGTCTTGTTGATGATCCATGGCGAAGATCCTTGAACTTTGTCTCTGTGTTGGGGCTGCTCCTGGGTGGGACGTCATGTTCGAAGAAAGCGACATTGCATGTGCAGGGTTGCGTAGGGCTGCCTGCGACATTGAGCTCTGAAGGGTAATTCCGGATGGCTCCTTCTCCCACATCGCCATGGAAGTGGGGTTCCGACACAGACGCACATGTCATGGGAGGTGAAGTGGCATGCTCGGAAACCTGTGCAACGATGACACTGGAGAACTCCACCCACCCACACTCCTTCCTACGCTGCAAACACTCTGCTCTACCCTGCCATCTGCCCGGGTTAGGGTACGGTTTGGGGCTTGGTGTCTCGGCCTCGGGTGAGGTTCCGGCTCTGGGATTTCGGAAGCTGCCTTGGAACGCATCTGAGAGCCTGATACCCCATGCTCCTGGACTATGAGCCAAGCATTTCCAGTGTTAGCCCACGGTTTTCACAGGACGTCAGATGGAGCCTGGAATACTGCAGGCCTTTCGGGCTTGTGGTTTAGGTTTTTAGGGGTTCAGGGTTTAGGGTTTAGTTGAGGAAGGGCGAGAAACAGGACCTCGTGTTCTCAGGGTTTGGCTTGTTAGAGAGTGCAACTTTTTTTTTGCAAAGCGATGCAGCGGCATTCAGCAGTTTGGACTTTGAGGCAGTGCGAGATCACAACCAGAAGCCTATGGCCATAGAGCTGACCTTGGGGTTTTGGGAGGTTTTGGGTTTAGGGCTTAGGGCTTAGGGAGGTCTCATTAACTAGTAACGGAGGTTTAAGGTTTAGCATCCGGCTTTCCAGGAGTCTCATGCCGGCTGAAGGTGAACAGGTTGAATGCAGGAGTTTTCCGGCATCAGGAAGACCCAGAGAGCCCAAGAATCCTTAAATCAGGAAAATGATAGGGGCCTTCATATTATGATTTAAGGTATATTCCTCAACTAAGGGGTATTGGGCTCTCTGGGTTCCTTTTTGGGATTACCTTATAGGCTTCTAGATCTAAGCCATAAAAAGGAACTACTTAGGGGCCTATGGGTAGTAGCAAGGCCAAAATCAAAAGCGCGTCCAGGCTTTGGTGGCTGACTCGGTGCGTCGGGCCCTACCAGAAGCCCTCTGATGAGGCTGCCGAACGGGGAGACCTGAAGAGTGGGGGGTGAGGGTTTAGGGTTTAGGGTTTAGGGGGGTGGAGGGGTGTTCGGTTCAATAGTTGGTTTCGGGAAAAACTCTTCTTCCCGGACCGCCAGCTATGTAGTGGAGTATTCTCCGAAAGATGGTGACGAATCAAAGGTAATGTCGCTCCAGAACCCGAACTGCATGGTTTTAAAAGGTTTCGGTGTTCTGGCTTTCACGGTTGTCGCACTTGTGCCCTCTTAGGGTGTAAGATTTTTGGTTTAGGCTTTTACCCTCAGGGTTTAGGGTTTAGGGCTTTGGGGTTTCCTTGTTAAAGATACATCGCAGGAGAATCCCCACCCTTGTTGTAAGGGGATACCCAGATAACCCAATACACCCTAATTAAGGAATGTACCTTAAATTATAGGGGACTTATTAAGGCATATTCCTTAAATACGGGGTATTGGGTTCTCTGGGTAGTACAAAACCCTTATAGAATAGCCCTTATACAAGATCTACTGGCCAACCTAAAGCAAACTCTCCAAACACCCCGCTACACTACAACCCTATTAAAACCTACAAGACCCCTGAAGCCAAACCGAAACACCCACAAGACCCCTAAACCCAAAAACCGACCTAGACCTTAAACACTAAACCCGAAAGCCCTAAAGCCCAAAACCCCCAAAACCTTATAGAACCCTTATAGATCCCTTTAAGGATCCCTTTAGGAACCCTTTAAGGAACCTAAAACCCAAAGCCCTACAATAGCCCGGAAGATCCCGGCTTCCCGAGGTCCGCTTCGACGGCAGCGGCACAGAGGAAGAGCTTTCCGAGGAAGAGGTGCGGCGTTAAACCCCTAATCGCCGTAGGGGTCTAGGGTTTTAGGGTTTTAGGACTTACGGCTTTAGGGCTTTAGGACTTAAGGCTTCAGGTTTGTAGGGTTTAAGGTTCTAAGGTTCAGGGTTCTTTGTAAGTTTGGTAGCTGTAGGATTGATCCAGGTTTACCCGTGGGACTTTGGAAGAGTTTTTTTCTAGAAGGGGTTCTGCAAGAGCTTTGTAAGGGGTTTCTAGCAGAGTGTTGCAGGTTTGTCGGTAATGGACATCCTAAACCCTAAACCCTAAACCCTAAACCCTGAACCCTGAACCCTGAACCCTAAACCATGGGGTGTAGATGGTTCAGGGGTCTTGGGCATGAATGATCGTCGAAAAGTCCAGAGGTGAGGTAGGCAAAACTCAGAAAGATGTTCTGCTGAGGGAGCGGGGCGAGAGAGAGATTCATGAGCAGAGGTTTCTGATGGTGTGAAAGTTTAGGGTTCTGCACACAGTTGTTACAGATACTTCTCAGGTTGTGATGTAGGGGTTTCCGAAAATAGGGGACCCTAATATAGTACCCTAAACAGTAGGATCCTTATTCAAAGGACCCCCAAAATAAGGTACCCTAATTTTCGGAAAGTCCCATGTAGGGGGTTTCTGTCTCGCAAACCTCCGCAAGAGGCAGCATGTGGACTGTTCCGATAGGTCAAGACCGGCGTAATATCACTTTGGACATCAGGGCAACGATCCTGTGAAGTTCGGGAGTCGCCGTCAAGTCTGAGGGGAGCCAATGAGTATTTGCCCTCTGTATATGTACCTACATACATGGTTTTCTGTACACATATGCACGTACATACGTGCGTATGCCCATGTGTATGCATATCAGACAGAAGACTACTCTCTGTCTCGTTGGCATCTATGGGGACAAATCATTGTGCTTCACGAAGACTCGCAATGTGAAGCCAGGAAAGAGTGTACGTCTACATGCAGCTGAATATGAGTCTGAGCCCTGGGGATCACTGGAATAAGAACACGGGCAGCAGCAACTTTTCAATCAATAGCAGTGTCAATAAATGAAGCATAAGCCCATCTGGGCTCGAGGCTTCCACTTAAGCATTGCTTCGTTTCGCGCCATGTCCTTGATTGGAGATGGTTTGCCGTCAAGCGGTGTAGTTGACTTCGAACACAAGGTGAATAAGAGAAGCCTCTGCTCGGGTCTTGCGCAACCCTAGCTTATAGGGCTTTGAAAAGCAGTCGCCTGAACCCTAATGTGCAAGTAAAAAACTTCTAATCCACAATAAACCCTAAGACCTAAACCCCTAAACGCCTAAACCCTAAAACCCTAAACCCCTAAACACCTAAACCCTAAACCCTAAAAAGCCCTGAACTACACGCTCGCACTAGGACGATTCGGACATGGACTGACCTGAGAGGATCAGTTTCAGCTCGTCCCAGGGCGCTTCTTGGGCACAGGACTTGCGGGTCCACTGCAGGCAAAACAAGTGGCCTGCAGGGTTTAGGTTTTAGGATTTAGGGTTTTAGGGTTTAGGATTTTAGGGCTTAGGGTTTAGGGTTTTGGTTTAGGGTTTAGGGGTTTAGGGCCTTAGTAGTCAACTAGACAAAGGTTCTATTGGGAATCGTTCAGGCTTCAGTACTACGCGGTTTGGAGGGCCTCAGAGCTTTTGGGCTGTCGGTGTGGAGTTTTCGATGTTCTTGGGTTTCAAGGTTCAGGCTCTGGGTAGCAGTGCTTTGTTGCTGCGGGGCTTGCCCAAGATCCTTTTAGACCCTGAGGGGAGGTGAGGTCCGAGGATCACAGGTGACTACAAGCATGTCGCTTGGGAGCTACTTGAATGGTGAGGGGACTTAGCCAATGAGCGTAGAAAGCCTGAATTACGTACACAGTTATAACACCATGCGATGGACTAAGTCCCATGATCCTTCAAGTCAAGCCAGAGATCTGTCGTTGTATCAAATCGCAGGAACCGCTTTCAAGTTCCCAGTGGCGATAGTTTGAACTGCCCCCGAGCCTCTAATTATGGTGGCTCTTGGACGGCAAAGTTCTTGTGACGACCTAAGTCTGCCTGTGCGAGCGAGGCTTCTTCCGAATGAAGAATGTCTCTAAACCCAATTCTGCCTCCGCGCTGGGCGTGGGTTCAAGACCCTCTAGCCCAGAAGAAGAAGATGAGACTGATTCTGGGAGACCCTAACCTGCTGTTCCGGAAAGTCTTATGCCCAAGCTGCAAACCTTATGCTAGCTGCCACCTCAACCCTACGCGCCAGGACCAAACCCTAAACCCTAAACCCTAAACCGAAGCCTTTGATGTGACAGCTCATCTTTCAGGGGGTGACTTGCAAGGCTTAGGGCTTCAAGCGCTGGGGTTTATAGGGTTTTGGGGCTTTCTCAGCCCTAACACTTCGGACCTGAAGGCCAGCCCTACAAGCAAAGCAAGTCCTGATCCGAGAGCCGATGGACCTGAAATCCGGCTGTTACTTTGTGAATGTTAGCTGCTAAGCTCAAACACTGAAGGGCTCTCGGCTGTGCAATTTTCTGGAAGAGACTCTGACTGCCCCGGCGATCGCCAAAAATGGTTCAGAAGAAGGCGGATTGAAATTCATGTTGAGGTTTAGATTCTCTGATGTTCGGAAACGAATTTATGCAGGCTTGATGTTTTTTCAGGTTTTGCGGATGACGGTGTTAGGCTTCTTGGGATTCTGGATTTAAGCCTAGCGCAGCGCGATTTTTTTTATATTGAGTTATTGGTCAGTCATGAAACCCGAAACCCTAAACCCCGAACCTTAAACCCTGAACCCTAAACCCTAAACCCGAAACCCTAAACCCAAGCCCCATGGGGGCTTTGGATTCAGGAATTTTTGGCTCATGTCGGGAGGCCTGGGCCCAGTTGGCGGGTTTAGGGTTGAGGGCTCAGGGTGGTATGGGTTTAGGGTTTAGGGTTTAGGGTTTAGGGTTGAGGTTTCAGGGTTGTATCACCGATAGTCTTCAACGTAGGTCCTTCCTGTGGGTAAGAAATTCTGGTGACGGCGCCCGATTGTAGAAAAGGGAAGGTAACCAAGAAAAGGAGCCACAAACATGGAATTGACCCAGCCAAGAAATGAAACTAAAACAACAAGAATAATTCCACAGAGATTACATTGATTACTTCTTACCATGGGTTACCACAAAGGCTTTCAGGTTTCAGGGTCTTCAAGCGATTCTTCGATAAGTCCCGGGTGCCTGTGTGTGTGTGTGTCCGTCCATGTGTATGCATATGTATATAGGTATACACAGTGCGTCTGTCTGTCTGTCTGTCTGTCTGTCTGTCTGTCTGGCTATCTGTCTATCTGTCTATCTGTCTATCTGTTTATCTGTCTATCTGTCTATCTGTCTATCTGTCTATCTGTATGTTTGTATGTATGTATGTCTATATGTATGTCTATATGTACGTATGTATGTATGTATGTATGTACGTATGTATGTATGTATGTACGTATGTATGTGTATGTCTGTAGTTATGCATGTAGACATCACCAGGACTAAAGTTTCGCCGCACTTGGCTACAGCATCTTGCGGAGAACGTGGGGTACCTAGAAGTGCATTTCACGTGGCCTGGCTAGCGGAGGAACTATAAGCCACCGGAATAAAATTATACAGGAGTCTATAAGGGGAAAGTGGGTTTGTACCGTGTTCAAGAGCGACATACAGAGTGCGACGAACTTTCGTCCTACCGCTGTATGCATATGTATATGTGTATGTGTCTTCATTCATGTTTTTGTTTGTATTTAAGTATATGTACCTGATGCATGTTTGTATGCCTGCATGTGCGAGTACTATATGCATGCACGCATGTGTGTAAACTCATGTATGTGTACACGTACATGTATACTCTAATTGTAGATGTATGCATATAGATGTAGTTAGACATATGTATATCTGGATGTGTATGTACCGGTCCCTGTATACGTGTACATGCATGTACATGTACATGCGTGCATGCGTGCATGGATGTATGCGTGCATAAATATATGTGTATATGTACATTTATATGCATGTGTGTGTATGTGTGTATCTATGTATGTATGCATGCATGGACGTATGTATGTATGTATGTATGTATGTATGTATGTATGTATGTATGTATGTATTGATGTATGCATGGATGTATGTCTGTGTGTCTGTATGTATGTATGTCTGTATGTATGTATGTATGTATGTATGTATTACTGTATGTACTGTTGTATGTACGTATGTATGTATGTCCGTATACGTATGTACATATGTGTGTATGTACGTATGTGTGCATGAAAGTATCATTGTTGTTTTGTCTGTTCGTTTGCTTGCTTGCTTGTTATGTTTTGCTTGGTTGGTGGTTTGTTGTTTTCTGTTTAGGTGTGTGTTTGTTGTTTTTGTTGTTTTTGTTGTTTGCTTGCTTGTCGGTTTGTTTGTTTGTTTTTTTTGGCTGTTTGCTTGTTTGTGTTGTTTGATGTTTGTGTGTGTGTTTGTTTATTTGTTTGTTTGTTTGTTTGTTTGATTGTTTTTTTGTTCGCTCGTTCGTTCTTTGTTTGTGGTTTGGTCTGTTAACGGCTTTTTTGTTTGGTTGCTTGTTGGTGTCTGGCTATATATACATATACACACACACACAGATATATATATATATATGTGTGTGTGTGCGCGAGTGCGTACGCACGTACACATACTGCTTGTAGGCTGTTGGATTGAGCTCAAGAGGTCAAGGATAGACGAAACTGCGGACCCAGAATCCAGAGTAACCGTCTTAATCGTTTGCCTGCTGATAAGTTGAGGAATTGATGGGTAGGGCAGGGGTATGGAGAACTTCGAGGCTTAAGCGAGATGATGTTGGTCCGGACGAGTCGGTGGAGCGGGCTCTACATAATGGTTTATCATTAGTGCCCAAACACTGCCTAAACACTAAGGCTGACCTGTCGACCCCAAGCCCCCCGCCTCAAGGTGCGAACGGCTTCTGTAGTAGTGCATTCTGTTTGGCAAGTCTTGGCTCCATAATTCCATCCGACTGAACGTAGTGAAGCTCGGCGGGGTTCCTTCCTCCTCTGCAACAAACGAAGCTGGCCCGGGAAAGCGAAGTGTGGCCTCACACCACCGCATGGATATCCAGCGTGTTCGAGCCCTCAAGCTTGAACCCAATGGACTGAAACGTTCAGCTTAAGCAGAGAGCTACACACACAGACGAACAAGCCAGCCAACATCTGACTCGAAGCTGCAGAAGTGGAAGACAACTCCTCCCTTTTTTCAGTGTAGCAATGGGATCCGTTGTCAAGGAGGCATGGGATAGAGCTTAGCTGAAGAGATGTCAGCCAGATCGTGCTCATGTAGCAATAGCGGCAATAGCAACCGCAAGCTTCAAGCCGGAATAACAGGTGGCCTAAGAAATGGCCCCGTTGGATCAAGGCCAACCAGAGTACGGTTTGTGATTATATGGTACGACCGAAAGACAAACCATGAGTAAGCTCCTGTAGAGTGCGGGCTCTGGGTTAAACCGGTTAAACTCGAACTGCTAGTGACACGCGCTGTCTTAGATGCTTAGGAGCAATTCAAAAATCCCGAATCCTTGTCGTCAGTCTCCTAACCCTACACCCCACCTAATCGCCTAAACTGTAGGGCCTAAACCCAACTCCGCAAACCTATGAGCTGAGTTCTTGTTGCGGAAGTTCATCTAAGTTGGCGAATCTACAAAAAAGGAACGGCTTTTCCTGTACATTGCAAGCTGGGTAACTTAAACCAAGTTCCTTGACAAGAACCCCAAACCCTGATAAGCACCTTACAGACCAAGCAATTCAAAACTTTGGCAAACCCTAAACCCTAAGACCCTGAACCCCAAACCCCTAAACCCTAAGACCCAAAGACCCTGAACCCAAAACCATAAGACCCTGAACCCTAAACCCCAAAACCCTGCATATAGGACCCTGAACCCTGAACCCCTGAACCCAAANNNTAAGACCCCAAGACCTTAAGACCCTAGGACGCCAAACCCTAAACCCCAAGACGCTAAGACCCCAAACGCTTTCCAAGCACCAGCCTCCAAAGTCTGAGCCGGGCCAGGGCTTGCTGGCACTCGTCAGCTGCCAGCTGGCCCTGGCTCTGCTAAGAGGCACGAAATGGGGGGGGGGGGGGGCTTG